TATAAATTAGATATAAAATTGATATAAAATAAAGGGTAAAATATAAAAACCTCCCCGAGGGTTCTGACACTCATAAAACCTCTTCTAAGATTCCATTTTAACAAATACCTCCCCTATAGTTTTGAAAAAACCTGCACTTACCTCCCTACAATTTTTTTTTTTGTCTCAGTTCATTACCAATAAAAAAGCATTATTGTCTCCATAATAGAGACTTTGAAGTTACCCAATTGCCCTTATTACTTATTAGGAATCTTTCAATATGATCAAAATGCCAAATTTGTCCTTTTAGACTTCACTTAATCATAATGAGTTTATAAAATGAAATTATTTTACTCTTTTTAATCTTACTTGGGAAATTTTTTTAGTTAAAGATTAAGTTTTTTTGGAGTATTTTAGGTCCTGTTTGGAATTGTTCCTGCCTGTTCCTGGGGAAATTCCTATTCCAAAACAAGAATGAAATTTCTGGTTCTTGGGGAATAACAATAGTGTTTGGCAATTTGTTCCTCAGGAGCAAATTTCTATTCTAAAGAAATAAAAACAATGTTAGGATACACTGTTGAATCTTAAGATTAGTTTTTCAAATCCATACACATACAAAGCATTGTTACAATCCTCAAAAACAATTTTTAAGTTTTAACTGCTTCAAAATAAGAAAACCTTATACATAACCCAAAGAAACAACCAAAGAAGGATTCTAATTCATAAAGTAACTCCAATAACATTATACTAATCCTTTCACAACTAAACAAATAAAAAAGCAACTCCAATATTGACCTAAATAGTTAGAAAGACTCATTTGGATTAGGATAGAAGGAGAAGAGAAGTTGGAAAATAGGGCTGAAAGCTCATTGAGATCGAAGAGCACTTTCAATCTCTAACTGCCGCCCCAATTTCTGTTGTTATATTAATGTTGTAATTACATCATTAACCATGAGACAAAAGGCCCAATATCTATCACTAGAATTAATAGACTAACCCTAAAACCAGCCTTTTCAGTTCTAAAAACAAAAATGTGTAAATTAATTCTACCCTCTAAAATGATTAACCCCATCCATGAATTCTTTCCTTACTTACAGGCCTGAATAAATCAATGTCAACAGATCATAGATCATAGGCAACAATACAACTGAACCATCCCAAATCTCAAATGAGTTCATTGAAGGCAACATCTTCAAAGTACCTCCAATGCAAACATGCAATATACATGAATTTGGCAGCCATTTGAGTTATGACCACCTAATACACAAGTCAGAGAAGTCTTTATTTGTTCAAAATAAATTGGTAATGCCAAGTTACCAACTAAATTCAATTTTCAGTCCTGCCACTTCTCTTTTAAATAGCTTTTTGAGAGAGGGATTTGGGAGGGTTCAATTTTATTTGTGGGGTTGGTCAGACCATATCAGCTACTCTTACTATATTGATGTATGTACCTTCTATTGTTAGGTCAGTGAGAATACCATGGTTCCCCACACCATCTTTGCTTCTATTGCTGATCGAAAACATCCGCAGAGACCAACTACACATGGTTGGCTACATAGATCCCGATTCGCTATTCCACTCTATTGAGGATAGAGGACCATGTCCTTTCTCAAATTGTGAGTCCTCAGATCATTTATAAATAATTCAGACCAACATTCAGAGCAGTAAGTCCAAATAGGGGTAATAGTATATAAGGGCAACTTTTGGGGTTTAATATCAATAAAAGTAATATATTTAAAAAAATTAAAAATAGGTTAATTTTTTAAAAATAATATCAATAAAGGGCAAAAATATTGTTCATCTTCTTCTTCTTGCCATTTGTTTACCAGAGCCGTCGTCTACCACCGCCATCCACTGCCGCCTCCACCTCCGGCAACGTTGCCGGAGGTGGTGGCGGCAACGCTGGTGGTCATTCCTCTACCCATCGCCGCCGTCACCTCTATCTCCACCCATCTCCAACGATGTTACCGGAGGCGGAGGCAAAGGTGAGCGGAGGTGGCAGCGTTGGACAAAGAAACCACCAGCGCCGCCGCCGCCACCTCCGGCAACGTTGCCAGAGGCAGAGGTGGGCGGAGGCAGCGGTGGTGGGTGGTGGCGGGCAGCAGCTTTGATAAACAAGGGGTAAGAAGAAGATGATGAACAGTGTTTTTGCCCTTTATTGATATTATTTTTAAAAATTTAATCTATTTTTAAAAATTTTTAATTATATTATTTTATTGATATTAAACCACAAAAGTTGCCCATATATGATAGAAACCCATCCAAATATGACGGTTCTGTTTTTGTTTCTTGTAGATTTTTAACGAAATGAAAAAAAAAAAAACAGTGGTGATGGGGTTTTTAACTCAAACCAATCACTAAGAACACACAAAGCTGATGACTATGAGAACTGATGAATGCTCATAATAACATGAATATTATTAAAATAGTGGAAAATCTTGAATGAACGATTGCAAGAAAAACTTAGGTGAATTAGGCTTTGTGAGAGAAAGCTTGGGAGTCTACGGCGGTAGGAAGAAGGAAGAAACCCCACTCAGTTTCGATTAGGGCTTTCTTATGTCCAAATATGCAAAATCACGAATTTGCCTCGACCAACACGTGGGGGATTGTGTGTTCCCAAGTTTTTCGTTCTTGCAGAGTAACGTCATGGTCACTCTAAAATGTGTCATTCCCACTCCAAAAGAAGCTGTTCCCACTTAAAATGTGACGCCAAATGTGTTTCCCTTTTGTAAGAACGTTGGGAATGTGAGGAACACTCCCATGAAACGAGGCCAAACATGACCTTGGTAAATTTTCATCTGAATTGATAGAAATAAGAGTAATATGGATATTTTCAAAAAAAAAAAAAATCAATGAATTAGACCAATGTTTTCTGTATGGGACAATGATGGAAGGGAGGTAACTGTAAAATTTTTTAAAACTAAAGGGGATGTTTTTATTAAAATGAAGTGTAAGGGAGGTTTTTAAGATTTTCAGAAATCTTAGGGGAGCTTTTTATATTTTACCCTAAAATAAATAAGTTGTACTCCAACCTCGGTCAGACCTCTGACCCGTGAACCTCTACTTTTACCAGGTTGATGCCTGGTCCGGTTCTCTAAATATTGGGATTTTCTTTTGTTCTATTTCTAACCTAGATCATAATCTCAATGAAATGTAGTAGTTCGAAGTATGGACAAAGAGAACCTTCAAACCCTACCAACCTGAATGAACATATGTAGGGTTCATCATTTCAGCCTGGCCTGAAAATTTCAGGCTTGGCCTAGGTTTTGTGTTCAAGCCCAACCTACACATTTTATTATATGTAATGTATACATAGTGTATAAATATATAAACGTTATTTTATGTTATAATATATAAAATTAAATATATATATATATATATATATATATATATATATGTATATTGAAAACCAGATGATTGGGCCGGTTGACCTAGGAACAAGTCAGGTAACTAGTTCTGTTTTACCTTAAAACTGTTCTTGGGCCAAAAACCATTGATTTTGTCAGCGACTCACTGACTTAGGCAGTCAAACCGTCGACCCAAACAACGGTTTTGGGCCGATTTTTATTTTAATTATTTTTTTATTTTTTTTACTTTTAAATCAGAATAGGCATTCTGTTCAAACTGGACGGTTAGACCATTTAACTTGGGAATCAGTAGCCAAAATGTGTTCGTAATCAGGCCTGGCCTAGGCCCAGACTTATGTTTCAGACTCGGCCCAGGTTATAGCCCTTATAATAGATGCAAAGCCCGGCCAGGCCCATCATCACCCCTAGAAATGACTAACCAATCTTAAGCCTTATTTGAGCCTGAGGTCCAAGTCTTTGGGTTGGGCTCAACTAGACCTGTTCATGGGTCGGGCCGGGCTTTCACTCTGTATTAATAGATTTTTCTAAGGCCCGTGCCCGAGCCCGGCCCGACCATCGGGCCTACAACTTGGGCCTAAGCCCGGCCCTCATAAAAAGCCCGAAGCCCGGGCCTGGGCCCGAGCCCGAAATTTAGCCCATACTGTTACTACTGCTGAAGCGGCTGAATAGAGAGAGAGAGAGAGAGAGAGAGATTATAAAGAAAAGAATAAAAAATGTATATATTAAATTATAAATATATATTTCAATAAATATTATATTATTTATATATTTTATATAATATATAAAATACATATTATATATTTTATAAAATATATAATGCTGAGTTGGCCCGAGTTTTTTTGACAAATCCTGAACCCGGCCCGAAACACAGTCGAGCTTACTGTATTAGGCCCGAGGTCAGGCCCGCGGACCTAATTACATGACCAAGCCCAATCGGGGCGCGGGCTGGTTTGGGCCGGGCCATTGGGCTACCCGGCCCATGAACAGGTCTAGGCCCATGTTCACAAATACACACAAACCAACGAGTCTTGGATAAGATCCTTAACCTAGGAAAGCATCTAGATGATATCAACCATATGTTAATTGGAACTCGGAACTGGTCCATATCCATAAAAAAAAAATTCGTTGTTTTGTGAAGACAATTCTAACGTTTCGTTTCTACCGTCTGATCACCTTAACTTTTAAACCAACTAAATCGGAGTCTAAATCTCTGCAAATAAAAACTCAACTCAAACTCTGGTCGCATAGCATCCAGCCCTTATGTTAAATCCATGGGTAAATATTCTTAATATGCGGCTGGATTATCATGCTTTAAGTTTGAACAGAATCCGTCCCAGAAGATCGACGGTAATAACTCACCAATGAAATTCATTTGACCACATACTTTGGTAGCCAACGACGTATTCGATATTTATGTCAGAATGGTGTAATCGGAAGGCTATTCTCGTCATTGTACTATCATTGATTTGAAAATTTGAATAAGCGAACGAGCCGCAACTCAACTCGTCCGGTCCGAGCACCTGAGAGAACGGAATCTGTCCGCACATTGAGAATATCTTCATATCTGCATTTTAAATTCATGGGGAGATATTCTCCATGTACAATTGGATGCCGTGCTCTACGTGTGTACACGATTTTTTGCTTTCAGGAGATCCCGTCTCGTCCGCTCCACCCAATTCAAACCCCTCTCTCTCCTCTCTCCTCCCGCTCTCGCTTGTCTCTGTTGTCTGTGAGTAGACATCGCGTCTGCAGAATCAGCGATCACGAACATGGTAGCCATTTTCAGGAACTCGGAAGACAATGCCTCTGTCGATGATCCACTCTTGCCATGGCTTTGGTAGCGGTTCCTTCTCCGCACTCTGTGAATCTGCCTCGGTGGAGATTGTCTGCTTTTAATTCTTTCTTTAACATTTGTTTGTTTAATTGGAGCTGGTGTTTGTTTGATCCAGGTCGGTTAAGAAGGGACTTGATAGTTTGAACTCCAGTACAGAGACTGAAAATCTTCTAAAGGACTGCATTGTGAAATTCAGGGATGATGATAGATACCGGAATGACATTCGATTTCTGAAGATATGGCTTCTATATGTAAATTCCCTCCGTAAATAACTTCTTAGTGGAAACTTGCATGTAATTGTTCTCAATCACGAGTTAATTTGCTCGCTTTTCTGCCACAGATGGATACCGTTGATGACCTTGAGAGAGTTTTCAGAACAATGGAGGAATACAGGATTTGTCTCACTCATTCCCTACTCTATGAATCCTATGCTCTGTTACTAGAGTCAAGGGGAAACTTGCTAGAGGCGCATGGTGTTTATAAACTGGGCATTTCGAGGTTTTTTTTTTTTTTTTTTTTTAATTTTCCTTCAAAATTCCCTGTTTTTCCTTTTCACTTGTGTGTTTTTTGCCTTAATTTTATAACTTAGGAAGTTGTTTATGGTGCTAGGAATGCTAAACCGATCGAGCGCCTGAAGAAGGCCTACAAATTATTCCTCAATCGAATGTCTGAAATAGTGAATACCTGCTCGATTCAGGAGGTATGCTCGAACTCATGTTTTTCTTTCTCTCTTTTCTTTTTATTGGTTGAGAGGTAAGAGGTAAGGCTTTACCATTTGAATCAGGGTTTTGTAAATAAACACTTCCTACATCTTCTGTTCCCTGCCTCCCTGCTTAAATGAATTGCCATTACAGAAAACTTTCAAGCTAATAGTTGCTAGCTTATTGTACGAGCATAAGTCTAATTTTGCATTTAATCCCTCTTCGGATCAACGAACAACATACAGCATTGAACCTTCTGAATATGCTTAGTCAATTCATCCATAACTAATACAAACAAATAAGGGCTAAGTACTGAGAGTTGGTGAAGCCCCATTGTAACTAGAAAGTTTAATGCCTCTTACAGGTGTTTTAACGTTGGTTGTTGCAGCTTCAACATGTCCTAATTAGGTCCAAATACCTATTCGGTACTCCTTTTCCAAAACATACCGTATTATCTTTTTTGTGACTTTATAATATGTTTTCTCTAGATCAACAGATACCATGTGAAGATCTCTCTTCTTCTCCCTAAACATTTTAATCTATAGTCACAATAAAACTGTTGTGATAGGATCAACATGTACACCTTGAATTAAATAATAGTAATAAAACCATTTTGATGTATTCCTAAGGATCAATGTGCTACCGTCAATACTCACTGATGGTACTTTCAGGACTTGAATAAGGAAAACAACAAAAAGGTGGGAGATTTTTATCATGAGCTCATTTCTTGTAAATCTTGAAAAGAGACAATTCATGGACAATATCCTCAGATCTACACAAATTGCAATAACCCATAGAAGGATAAATAAGTAAACAAATATGAATGGTAGTTGTATATTGGGCAATATCCTAACTTGCTTGTAGCCTTATAAGCATCTCTCATTTAAGTGTTGTTATCATGTTTGTATTATTCAAATATGTGCAGTGGGGAAATGTAGATTTATTTTATTTCCTTTATCTTGTCTAATTTAAATGGATCCAAGTTGGATCTAATTATCGTTAGGTTCAAAGTTGGTGGACCTAGAAACCCGGGTGCTCGGATAGACAGATACCTATTGGTGCTGCTACCTGCTACCATTGAGAGATGTGTCCCAATTCTCGAAAACATAAGACACCTAGACATGTGTTGAGTTACTTCACAAATCATCATCTTCTAATTTGTTTTGATTTTTTTGATGCTTAAAATAAAAAAGTTGGGGTGCAACATGAGGACTTCCCAGGAGGTCACCCATCCTAGTACTATCTTCTTATTTATTTTTGATGGAGGGTGATTTGGCCTGACCTCGTAGCACGGGTACATGTGGGTGTGACCTTGTTCAAGCGATGACTTAGCGTGACAGCACAGTAGGCACAACCGCAACTCGATGGGAAAGTCACACCGAGTTCAGTCCAGCAACTCGGCGGGATAGACTACTCG